GTTTATTCACTTAAACATAATTAAAAACTAGTACAATGTTGTAAGTCAGTTGTATTGTTACGATTAAAGTCGTGAAATAAAGTAACGTGAAATCAAATAGGCATGAGCTTTATCTCGCCTCTCACGTAAGCCTATCCCTATTCTTACATTCATACCCCACATCGTCCTTTGTTCACCGCTCACCCCAAAGGCATTCGGATACCGCCGGGGGGACCGCGCGTCTGAGAAACATTACCCCGCTCCCTCGCCAGCGCCTTTCGATCTCCCGCCTCCGCCCGCCGGTGTTGGTTGTTCCGCTCCCCACACCCAGCGTGGCGGCGCGGCCCTGGGGAGGGGACGTAGGCGTCTGGGAGAAGCGGGCCTATTATAATAAACCCTCTCTCGCCCCGCGCGAGACAGCGGGCGGCAGGGCGGGGCCGGTGTGTTGGCCTGTTAAAAAATCCTCCGCCTCCCGAGATATGTACGCGGACGCGTCCTTTTTCACTTCGGCGGAATTTATCGTCAATTTATCGCGCTGCCAGGGGCCGTGCGGAGGGAGCCGCCTTTGCCGCAAGAGGCGCCGGGCGGGCTCCGGAGCGATCCACCTCCAGCGCCGTCGCCTCGCCATGTCCACTCGCTGGCTGGGCCTTCGTTTGTTTCCCGAGCCATTGTTGACAGGAATTGGAATTTTGTGGTTTTCTCCGTTTAGTTTTCGCTGTTGGGACGAGTGTTTTGGAAATGTGTTGTTCTTGATTCATCAGATAGGTTACTTTGTTTACAACGACTCGGAATATCAGCTGTCGAAATTGTGTGATAATATTTGACTATGCATAATTTATGTTATTAAAAAGTGATGATAACATTAAAAACTATATGAAACCGACCAGGAAAATGATTTGCTTCTGTATATAAAATTGGTATCATAATGTTTTCAAACGCGGTAAAACTTCGAGAGTAAAACTTCATTAATTAAATCATAATCCATATATCCGCATTTTGTGTTACCAAATCGAAGATGACATCCTTTATTAGACCTTGGAGGTACCAGCGTAAAATATGTTCATATCTATTATACATATGTGAATGAAAGCATGGCATCATCGAACCCAAACTGATGAGTTGTTTCCTATAAAAAATTTCCGGCGAGCGGTGGTGACGGAGGAGAAAAATCGGAGGAGCGAGTGAAGCGGTGGAGCGTTGAGGCGAACCCGGCTGCCCGACCGCATTGCTGCTGGTCGGACGGCGGGCGAAGGCGAGACGTGGCGGGGCAGGCGGGGCAGGGTGCGGTGCGAGGTGTGCGTGGCGTGGAGCGGCGCGGCGCAGGACGGTGCGTCGCGGGCGCGCGTGCTAACAAGCCGACGGGGGCCTCCGCCGCCCGGGGCTGTGTGCATTCCACGGCCTCCGCCGCCGCCGCGTGTTTGTTTAGGCAGCCGCCGCACGCCGCGCTGGCGTCGCCGGTGCCCCGACACCTCGGAGCCGTGTCGCGGCGCGCCACCAGCGGCTACCGGCGGCGGCGACGGCGGTGGTGGGGGAGGCGAGGGGTCCCCGCCCACGCCCTCGCAGCGACTTCTCAACGGCTCTTGAAAGTAGGCTCCGGAGCAGGAGATGCTCGCTTTGGGTTTGGGTGTTGCATGGAACCCCTGGATGAGGAAAGAGACGCACTGGAGAATTTTGCTGAACCGAAGCAGAGAATTCGAGTTGTTTGATTGAAAATAATTATTTTCATCTGTCTCCAATGTCGAAATTTCTTGGAATGTTGTTAACATTACTCTTATTTTTCATACAATGGGGTACTGAAGAAAAGTCGTATCTCCAAACCCGGGAGGGGTCGGTCGCGAGCATTTGGTTTTTATTTTTTCGTATAGAGTTTTGTTTGAGGATTATATACTCTAGTGATATTCAGAACCTTTTCCCTAATATTTCATGTGCAAAATCCATTACTCGTCACACGATTTTAACATAGTTACAACGAGAATTGATATTTCAAATAGCACAATGTTTGTATACAGAACAAACAAACCAGAAGTTCCATAAAAAATACTAACAAGGTCTGACATTTGTCAAGAAATTTGGACGCAAAATATTCCGTGAATGTGAGAAGAGCATGAAAAAAGTATGTAAATAAAATCAATTGTTTGTAATCATTATGTGAAACAAATTATTGCTGAATTTTACGTATTCATTTTCAAATTAACATTTAAAATGTACTTGTGTTTATGAACACTTTTTTGTTGTACATTAAAGAAAGATAATATGCTTTTATGCAACAAGTTTTCGGTTTGTTAAATAATAATAATAATAATAATAATAATAATGATAATAATAATGATAATAAGTAAAATGTATTCGATTAATGAAGTTAAGGATGTAACAGACACTTCAATACAGAATTATATTAATCCATGACGTTAGGAGACTTCTACGAAATAAATGTTACTGTGAGATCCGTATTCTCCCACATAACCATAACATTACATTCGTAGACAAGACGCGACCTCGCCCGGGTTAAACACTGTTACATTCTTACAATAATAAATCTGGTAACTTTTTTTACGCCATTCGCTTGCGCTTTTCGATTTGTATTTACTTAGATCATGGCAGGAGGAAAAATGTATTTCGCACGCGTAGTTGTGGGAGAGAATGTTTAGCGGCTGTGTGCCTATTTCTTTCTGTCCCGCAGCGTGCGAGTGTAGTGGCTGCTGCATACGAACGTTTCCCGAGCGATGCAGGCGCACAAAGGAAGGGCGAGGGCGCGCCCCACATAGCCCGGCACGTCCCGCGCCGCGCCGCGCTGCCTGCGCAGGTTGCAGCCGCCAGGGGTTGCTGGGAGCGCGGCAGTGCCACCGCCGCGCCTCCGCCCACGCACGAACCCCGGGACCAGCCGGGCAGACGCTAGACGCGCAGAGACGATTCAATTTTCATTCTCTCTTGGAACCCATCTTGGATTGCTAGTAATGAATGTCAGATGTTCACTGTGACTCTTTACGGAAATATTGTACATAATAAGAATACAAGCGCTCCCGTTATTTTCAAACGGAGTTTCGTACATTTCACTTGTACCGTAGTATATTATTTTATTGAATGTGTTTATTTTTTTTTTTTTGTAATTTCGCAAACATTCAGAGATCAGCTATTTATAAACATAGTACCTTCAAAATTTATTTAAAAAATGTAAAAATCTTGACTCAGCAAAAATATCATACGTTGATTAATTTGACAATTACTGTATGAAAGCTGATTTAGATGATAATATGGGAGTCATTATAAATAATAAATTTGATTCACCTTCTTAACAATGAAGACGAAAATCACCTTGCCTTGCTCTGAAGCTTATCCACAAATCTAGCGAATACATTGCATCCGCCGTCGTCTGTGCTCTTCAGATCGCTAATGCATGACCAGCAAACTGCAATCCACATCGATGGCACACATAGTGTACGTCCAGAATTCCTAGTTTCGAGAAAAACAAGCTTGAAAGTTTGTAAAGGTTCTGTTACTTATGGAGCAACAATGTTTGCATTCTGTGAAACACTTATATGGACATACAATCTTTGTGCAATAATTAGATATAGGAGAGGTCTCCAAAAATGATATTAATCCCCAAATAACCGAAGTGAACATAGAATGTGCACTAAGCCCTCGATGTAAGACGGGTCTGTTCGACTTGCATCGTCTCAGGCACTGCCTCTCCTTGGCCAATGGCCGCGCGCGACGTGACTGGCAGCGAGCGGGCGACACCGGACACGGGGCGCCGGTCGCTTATTTTCATGGCGTTTCTAAATTGCCCGCACACGACCCCCCGGCGCGGCTTCGGGACCCGTGCAAGACGGCCGGGCGCTCTCAAAAGGAGTTGCGTTACGCGCTCTATGGAGTACGCGCGCCCCGTCTGAATAGTAGAGCTCTTTTGTTTGCGGAGCTGCTCTCTCCCGAGGACGCGGGAAGTACATAGCACGCCGCGCCGCTCGCATCGAGTTGGATGCTTCCGCAGGCGATAGATTGTCCGGAGTTGTGTCGTGTTTGACATTTGCAGCTATTCCCCCTCCTCCCCCTCCTCCTCCTCCTCCTCCTCCGGCTGTCGCTACTGCGCCGCTGTTTGCCCGAGAGGTAGTTTACTTGGTGTTATGAGCGGCGTGATTGCTTCGAATGGCTTTCGCACTGATTAAGCGAGATATATGGCGTGTATTTATCAGATTACACGACGTACATTGTAAGCATGTTTTTCGTGTAATAATCTGAAATCGTTTTTGTGTGTTGAACTTTTTATCATATTCTGATTAAAGATACTTTTATTGCTAGGTAATGAACAAGAGACATGCAAGAGACAGCTATATTTACATGCGATACAAAGAGAGAAGACTATTTGCGAAGTTCTGCTACTTTTTATCTCTACCATCACTTTGTGTTGGCGAAGGAAGATATGTTGCATGCAATATATACTAGTCACGCTGTTATCATTGAGTAAATACAAAATTTTTGCAAACGTCAGTTTTTACTTTCTCGCCTTACGAATTCTTCGTAAGGAGAGAAAGTTATGTGATCGTGTACCAGAAAACGGCGACTTTTTTATATGGAACATTCATGAATAGGAAGAATTTATATCTTTATTAAAAAATATCATGTAAAACGATGCGTGTGAATTTTATGTTCATTTTCACTTCCCATTGTTTATTTTAATCTATTTTTGTTATTTTATAATATGAATATTCACGTTCCCCGAAATATCTTTAGGATCTTTATTTTACCGCTACCCTTTACACGGAGCGCAACGATTCATAAAGTTGAGGTGCTGCAGAAGTACCACGTGAAAGCCTAGTCCCTTCGTGCCGACGAGGTTACGACCGCAATCGTGAACATGAAGGTAGAGTTGGAAAAAAATCTTTGCTTTGTTTGCGCATTTACATGCATATGGGTGGCCACCAAAATATTCCACATACTTCGCGCATATACTCGTAAGTCAAAGTAATACTTTATCAGTATAAAATAATATTCCAAGTTTGACAGTTATGAGAACAGAATAGAGTATGAAATACCCCAGAATGGAAGAAGAGGGTAAAATGTTGAACTTCGTGGGAATTTCATGAAATATTTTGTCTGGGACACTGGAGGAATGTTGGAAATAATATTATTTATCAAAGATGGGAACCCCTGATGTTAAAGCACAACTAGTACATACAAGCTTTCATACCTGTTAATATTCCGTTGAAAGCATTGAATATTACCATTTTATGAAAGATTTTTTGGATACATAAAAAATTGTATGTGCAATTGCAAACTGAATTCAAACGAAATGTACGTGTCAAAATATTACAAAAGAAAGAACTGAAGAAAATACTAAAACCGTTTTGCTTCTGGTTTTATGAAGATATTTTTTCTTGGAGTGTTTTTGTTGAATGTGTAGGATGGGATTTTCACATTTTGTGCCTTGGAACATTTTTATTGAATCTTACGTTTCCTTATCTTTTTGTTGCAGCCTCATACCGCCTTCTCTTCACCACCAGTAAGGAGATTCGTGTTGTGTCCGTCACAGGAGGCCATAGACCTCGACCACAGCAAGATGTCGGCAAGGTGAGTTCTTATTGCTTTCCGTGTACGGTTGTGTAAATACGAGTGGATGTGAAATGCACTGAATCCCGTTTCGCTAAAATAAGTTTTGGAAAGAGAATCGAATGCGATTCACATGGAAGAGAAATACACGGGAGAGTTAAATTTTGTTTGTAATGTAATTTTAAATGTAATTTGTCGTTTGTTGAAGTAGTGATCGAATGCATAAACAATGGAACCTCCTAAAATTGAATTCCTTCTTATGTCCAATTTTGTTAGTTTAATATAAAGTTGTAAAAATAATCCCGTAACTCGAAGAACACGAACAGAACTATCATTTGGAAGCATTAACAGCTGGCGGACCTACCCATACGACCGAATGAAAAATACATTTCGCATCGCGATGATGTGTGACCGCAGAAAATAATTAGGTGAGGCTCATTTGTTTTACAAACTGTCAAAAAAACTGTTTTCTGGCATGAACGGACCATAAACTTAGGTATCGAGGTAGGGTGCGCCTTGCTGACTAAGCGCTCAGATGTTTAATATCTTTCTAATTGTTTTGTGTTCCGTTGTGTTGTTTGAACACACAGTCCTATGATTTGTGGGTTCCTTCCATAACATTGGATCGTCGAATGGATTTTTTAGACTGAGACCATTGTGGGTCTCATGACTTGTTCTACAAGCCAACTTGTTCTACAAGTTCTTGTAGTTCATTCGGAATATGTGCAATACACGTTACAAAGTCGGCTGTGTTCCTTTGCTGATTCATTACAACAGAATCTCCTCAAATGTAGCAAATATTATGTGAGTTCCTTGTCATCTTGTTGACAAATAGATTTAATTTTAACTAATAATTACGTATTGTAAAAGTGATGTTAATATTTTAATCTGCATAGTAATTAAATGCAAAATCCAGAATAAAATGACTCACGGAAAAAAATACAGATAAGCTTATAATATACACTGAAATTCATTAGTAGCAGAGATCTTGTTATTAACAATATGTCTAGAAGACAACTGTAGATTTGTGGTTATAAAACAAAGCATCATATATAACGTTAGAATTAGTCAATTGTGAAAAGAACTACGATTAAGGATGCTACGATTAGGGACTTCTCATGGTTGTAAAATTGAGTGTTTTTGCAAACATTGTAATTAAAATACCAATTTGTGATAAATGGAGCGGATGATGGAACGTTTTGTGTTACTATTTTCTGAAGCAACCCAAAATACGGATGTATTAGCTATTACCTTCCACAAGGAATTTTATGAGGCGTTCAGTAGAAAGAGACACTACTTCAACTTAATCTCCACCTTCGGGTTATTTCTATCAGTATCTCGAACCTCATTATCTCGAACTCATGTCTTTGATATTCGAGAAATCGAAAGTTCCTCAACACAATAGGGACTTTTTGCTCGGCGTAACGTACAGCAATTTCTCGACCCCTCTATACCATTTTGAGCATCTGCGCATGCGCAACTCGAATTGCGTAGTAGCTCGAGATTGCTGTCGGTCGCTGCAAAAAGTCTATTGAAATGGATCACGTCAATAACGTCCGACCCCCATACGAGTTTAATCTTTGGCCCCGCAGATTAAAATCGATGAAAGCGCTTTCCCGTGGCAAGTGCGTCGTCCCAGGAGCTGTGTCAGAGGTGGCATCCCTTTGCGTGATTCTCATAAAAAAGCACTTCTCCGCAGTCCAGAGGTGCGGCCACGGCGACCCGTTCGCAGTTTTATCGCTGCGGAGTCGGCACGTGGAAGCCGGGCGATTCGATGGGTGATTTCGTCGGAACAAGCGGACATTTTACGACTCAGTGTCACGTGATCGGGAAGGGGAAGGGGGGGGGAATAAGACGCTGCTCGCATTGAGGTAAAAGAATGGCTCTAGTCTTGTGAATGAGATGTGGTACTCGGGCTATGGCAATTTGGCAACGAAACTTGCAATTTACAGCCATGCTCTAAACATCATACGAAGATATCTACAGTACTCTTTAACAAAAGGTAAACATGGAAGTGACATTTCATTCAATTCTGTTTTCCTTATTGACGTGTGGAGAAAAAAAATTAAACATTCAGAAATCAGTTCAAATATTTCATTCATTTTACGATATATATTGATCTTATTTCTTAATTCTCTGTAATTGACGTGCTCGAAACGTGCGTAGACGAAAATTATTTCATGCAATTCGGAAAATAGTTATTACAATCCTTTAGTCAAGTTTCCTTTTTGGTTAAATTAACCTCTTTTTAATTTGTAATCGCTAAGAGAGAAGGAAAATAGAATTTGAAGACAGTGGGATTATTTTTAATTCCTTTTTGTATAGAAATTGATGACAAAAATGAAACTTTACTTGAAGCTTGATGAATGATCATTAAAGACCGTCGTGTCAATCAATTTACTTCATCTTCAGTTGAATTGGATGTAGTTGAAGCATCTATGCAAACACAGTGATCGGTCGAAGAGGCTCGAGATATGTGCAAGAAAAAATGCAGTGTCAGAAACCTCTGAAATGTCTAATGGTGAAAATGTTGTAGTTCATTGTATTACAGTGGTCGAGATAGTATGCTCATCATAGGCAAGGAAATTCAAATGTGTATGGCTAAACATTACATATCTGTAGAAGGTTTTCCACAAAAGTGCGCTGGGAGCGAGGAGGAAGCAGTGACTCCCTTGACAATCTCGGAAGGGGGCCCGTAGTCCCAAGTAATTAAACATAATATTTCCGTAAATATAATGAATGCCTGATTTTCTCTCTTTAAGTTGATACTGTGGGGAATTAATTCAGGAATCCTGTAAATGGTCCAACGTAAATCCATTGAATTTGTTAAGTGTAGCATTAAAATCAACAGTTCATTCTCCTTTATTTATTTATTTATTAGAAATTTTTTTCATCCAATTAAATAAGTCATGTGAAAAAGAAGGCCAAGAAGGACTCAGAAATGCAGTTCCCACTACTTTTAGGCTGCGCACGCCTACATTTTCACTGTTTTTAGAATTCAATACTCATTTCACATCTTTCCACATTCATTCAGCTTGGAAGACGGAGTTCCGGAGTCATCTTGAGTTTTGACGTACAGACAGAAATGACCATTTGTATCTCGATTGATCTAGAACCTCGTAGTGGGGATGGGGAATCGGAGTTATTACATATTTCAACTTAACAAGGTTTGCATATCATGGATGTTGTCATCACGGTAGTATCTCACGTCATGTGTGTGTAGAATGAAGGAAATAGTTTAGTTAGGAGTACAGTTTAGGAAGTAGGGAGGTTTTTCCCCCTCGAAAGTTAAAGCAATCGAAAGCACTAGTATAGATCATCTGCGCATGTGCAGATCAAGCTTCGCAACACTTTTGTGCGTCTGCACATGCGCAGAAGACCGAGATTGCAGTCGATTGCTGCCCGCTAAGGCGTGCAAGACAACTTCCTAGAATCTGTGTTCTTGTTGGGAGGTCCCACTAATCCAGCCCCCACCCCGCGTCTCCGAAGTTGAGTGAGTTGGTGTGTGTGTGTGTGTTTATTAAATGGTTGGCCAGTTAACATATATTTAGAGCATTGTAAAATGTAGTCCGATAAGGTATGGTCAACCATGTAAAAAAGTCGCTGTAGGCTCTGCCTTGAATGGCAATGAACATGCGCGCGCGCGCTGGCTGCAGCTGGTGCAGGACATGGAGGGGTGCGCGGCGGTGGACTACCTGTACGACGCGGGGCTGGTGTGCTGGACGGACCTGACGCTGGAGCGCATCCAGTGCGTGCCGTACAACGGGTCGGCGCACCCGGCGCCCGTGGCGGGCGCGGGCGGCGGCCACGGGGCGAGCGCCGTGCAGCGCATCGTCACCTCGGAGCTCATCTCGCCCGACGGCCTCGCCGCCGACTGGTACACGCGCAAGCTCTACTGGACGGACGGCGAGATGAACCGCGTGGAGGTGGTGGCGCTGGACACGCGCCACCGCAAGGTGCTCTTCTGGGAGGACATCGACCAGCCGCGCGCCATAGCCCTGGCGCCCATGCGCGGGTGAGCCACCCCCCCTGCCTCCTTCATTACACGGCTTACACGGCCCAATCGATGCCTCTGATTGTGAGCCGGGACTTCCCCACTTCTTAAATTCGTCGTGTTTAAATTAAGATTTTTTTTAAAATTTTCGGCTGTTGTCTATTTCCGCTTCCTACTTCTTTCTTGACCTTCCAAATACATCATATCACCAGTCCTCGTTTCTGTTCTACTTTTACTGCAACCAGAGTAATCACTTTTTTTCTTGTTGGTCTCTCGTTAACCCCGTTTAAAAATACCAAGTGTTTCTTTTCTTAAATATTAGAAAAAAATCCTCTCCTAGGGCTAATTATGTTTTTGCGCCTGTTAAGAAAATTCAGTTACTTAATATTGAAGTTATATTTGAAATTTATTATAGTACGGCTATAGCCATTTACAAGCTACGAGGCATTACGTTTTACGAATTAATTCGATCGAGAACATGGTTGTCCGTCAATTCAAGGCATCACATGATGAATTTAGCATAAAATTACTTTTGGCATGCCAGTAATTGTACCAGTCTTTGTAGAAATATCTCATGTTTGAAATTTCAACCTTTGTCTGTGGAAATGGGTGGATTGTGATGGAAGGGTGTGTGAGTGTCGTGTACGCGTGCGCAGGTTGATGTTCTGGACGGACTGGGGCGAGGTGCCGAAGATCGAGCGCGCGGGCATGAACGGAGACCCGCTGACGCGGCGCCCCATCGTCACCGACAACATCTTCTGGCCCAACGGGCTCACCGTGGACCACAACGCCGAGCGGCTGTACTGGCAGGACGGCAAGCTGCGCTTCATCGCCTCCATGAACTTCGACGGCGGCGGGCGGCGCCAGCTGCTCAGCGGCAACAAGCACCTGCCCTACCCCTTCGCGCTCACCTTCCTCGGCGGCAGCGTCTTCTGGACGGACTGGAAGAGCTGGTGAGCCCCACCTTGCACAATGTTGATGTTTTACTTTCTCGCATACTGCTTATGTAGAATGAAGTTATGTAATGCTGCGGCGAAGACGGCGATTTTGGGGCAGAAAAACCCGTGTTGTTGGTCCCAAATACCGGGAAAGTGGATTAATCTTATTCCAAAAATTTAGTAAATTACTTCCTCAAATATAATCAGAAGGCAAGTTTTGTTGGTCCTTGATGCCCCCCCCCCCCAATTTGTTTTACAACAAAATGTCTGTCCGTCCATCTGTGAACAACAGTAGCGGTTAAAACCTAACGTAACGGATTTTTATCAAATTGATATTTCCCATGCGATCTGATTGGTCCCATCACTTTTAAACGAATATTTTGGTTAAAGGGTGTGTTTTTTAACATGAAGCCCCAATGATAGTTTTAAATTTTCTTAACATGGCTCCCAATTTTTTCTTCGATTTGTTTCCCTCAAATGCAGTAATATATATATTTATAAAAATTGCGCAGGTTGAATTTACTCTAAATTTTTGAAATTTCATTCTTCATTGCATCAACTCGTTGATGTACAATCTATTAGTCTGGGATTATGGAGGCCAGATAAAAAAGGAACAATAAAGAGAAATAAAAACACGTAATCTTGTTTCATAACAGCGAGAATTACGAATATTTGCGCACTTGGTCGATTCCCTTCGTAATGTAGGTCTATCAAAACAAATTCATTATGAGACATCTTTTGTAGGTTTACTTGGGTCATTTGTGTATTAAATGAAAATACCGTTCAATGAATTTTGAGAAGTTAACTATTGTGACATAACGAATATGATTTGTTCTGGTTACTAAAGACGAAATCGATACTTAAATTTACTAGATATCTCTCGAATCCAAGAGAAAAAGACACGTTAGATGTCAGGTACAATAAAATACTAACAATGTATTTAAAGAAAGCAAAACACAATGTTACTTCAGTGGAATATGATTTTGGCATATCTATAATATTTGACTTTTTACGAAATACGTCTTTTCACCATTCGCCAGAAATTTTCTATTCACCCACGTCATTTGGCCATGCAATGCCATTTTCGAATTCAGTGACCTGAATGTGTCAAAATTATCTACTCTCATTTCCATAACATTTTGTGCATTGAACAGTGAAATTATGCAAGGAAAACGAACAATTTGGTCATTCGTAGGCAAATGAAACTCGAAATGTATACAGGTTTGAATTTATGAAACGATTTGATAAAATAAACGTATGATACAGATGCCAAAGCGAAAATGAAGTTACAGTATATTTGGATGCCAATGGAACGGCAGCCAGTTTTTTCTTTTTCTTTTTTTTTTCCTTGAAAAATAAAATACGTCGTAACATTCCTTCTCGGCGCGGCATTGGATCCCTGGCGCATAGGCAACCCGACTTACCTCGCTGCGTCCACATTGCGATATGCTGCAATATTTTAGCTCCGATGGAAAATAATAATATTAATAATAATAATAATAATAATAATAATAATAATAATAATAATAATAATAATAATAATAATCATCTTCAGGATCTGTAAATAACATACCATTGCATTTTTCCAAATATTTATTTGCGACTTATTAATTATTTTGTGTTTAATAATCATCAAGCACTTAGACTTTAAATTGAATGTTAGTATTGAACGTTGTATTTCAATTTTACTTTGCTATTAATGTATTCTGAGAAATTGCAGCCGTTCTAAACGCCTCGGTGCGAAAGGTCACGGGTGCTCATCCCGCCGTGGACGTTGGTGTTTGACTTCTTGACTCGAGCGTGTGTGAGTGAGCGCGCGGTTGGGGCTGCGCAGGGACATCATGCAGCTGGAGAACGGCGCCCGCGAGCCGCGCCAGCTGCTGCACTCTGACCAGACGCCGCTGTACGTGCAGGCGTGGGACCGCAGCCGCCAGCCGCCCGGCCGCTCGCCCTGCCAGCGCGACAACGGCGGCTGCTCGCACCTCTGCTTGCTGGCGCCCGACCCGCCCGGCTACTCGTGTGCCTGCCCCACGGGCGTGCGCCTCATCGACAAGCGCACCTGCGCCGACGGTGCGTGCCACGCCCTCGCCCACGCGCTCGCGACGCTCACGTTCCAACTCGCCGACGCACACACATACCTTCACACTAGTATTGTACATTAGCTTTCTCCCGCACTCCCTCTGACTCTCTCCTTCCCTGTCCCTCATTCCGTTCTTATCCCTCCAACACTCCTTCATTCACCCACCCTCCTCCCTATCTCTCTCCCTCCATCCCTCCCTCCCTCCTACTTCCCTCTCTCCACCTTTCCTGCCTTTCATCTCTCTTCCCCTCTTGTCTTCTTTCTTCCTTCTTTCCTCCCTCCCTTGTTTCTTTCTCTTCCTCCCCATTTCTCTACCTTTCTCTCACTTATTCAAATACGCTACTCACCTTCTCGTTTCTTTCTTTCTTTCTCTTCATTTTCTTCTTATCCCATCATCCACCCAAGTTCGCTCTCCATTTTCTTTTCAGCCACAGGTCAGCATTTTTATTTCCCTGATTTATTATCTAGCCTACACTCACACGCGTTTAACACTAATGTATTTCATTCGCTTTTTCTCCCTCCATATCACTCTCCATCTGCCCCTCTCTGTACCTCTCCAATGTCGCCCCCCCTCCCCGCTCACTCGTTGACCAATGTTTCTCGGTTTCTTGCTTCTTACTTCCCTTTCTCATTCATTTTCATTTCTCTATACATCCATTCTATATGACTATTTGCTTTCACACTCACTCTCGATTTCTAAGCAGATCATCCCTTACTCACTAGCTTTCACAAACACATCACACTCACTGCATGTTTCTCTTATTTATTTACTCACGCCCGCTTACCCACCCTTTTCTAACTGTAACAGTTTACACTACTCACCGTGGGTACTCGAAATTACATACTTAAGCACTTATTCATCTTTTCAGTCTACACTCATTCAATCACGCCAATCACTAACTAGCGTGAGCTTGTCCTTTGTAAATATTAGGTCAAAAAAATACTGCCGTAAACATATTGTATACCAGTCTACACTTACATTCTCAATGCGACCAGAAAACGCAACCACGAGAACAGGGGTTATGTTTAGAAAATGACAATTGCACAAGAAAGAACCATTTCATTATCACTTTATCATTCACGTGAAGTGCCATCCTTCTCCCATTTGAACGATATAGTATATATATATATATATATATATATAATATATATATATATATACACACACACACACCATTTGCGACAGTTCCTCGAAATCGTAAAGCCATGGTAGACTTTGTTGTTGATAAGTCGTATCACCAGCACTTCTGAATGATGCATTTCCTGTTTTTTCTGCCCGCAAATCAGGATGAGTGGTAGCGACTGCTGCAACAGAGTTAACTCGCAGTTGTGTACGCGCGTGCACGCATTGCTCTGGGAAATTCACGCGGAAGCGGCCGGCGTCATTAATTGGCCTTGCCCGATTTCACTTTATTGAACGCCCTCTACATGGGAACATTTGTAGTTCGCGGAGATCAAAGGCTTCGCAATGAAGTTTTATCCAGCAGCGGTGACATTTATTGCTCTCGGTGGCAAACTGATGCTTGGAGGAAGACAATTTTATTCTTTGAGTAAATAGTGTACTGTCCCTTTTTGGTTGGGAAGGGGGAGAGAAGTTATAAAAATATTGTAATATTTTTGTCGTCGAAAGTCGGGTGTCTTCAATTGTTTCTTGTAAGACATCGATATGGATGTTGGAAAATTAATGCAACTGCACAAGAAAGAGATTAAAGGAAGAATTTGACTTGTGTCTCCCGAATCACAATAAGAAAGTATTCGTTTTCACTTTGAAATCCATACCTCCTGTGTAAAGTGCCTAATATTTATTCGCCTCTGAATTTACGGTTCGTTAGATGCATCCAGTTGAGAACGAAAAAGAAATCTGGAACACATTGGGTATTTATTGTTACTCAGATTCAAAATGTATACTCAGTCCCTCGTTACCTTCGAATGATGATATATACACAGCATTTTCTTAGTGCATTGGACCTAATTCGGACCCCAAAATCCCCCCCCCCCTCTCTCTCCTCCTGTTCTCTTCCCGTTTCTCTCTCTCCCTCTCTCCCCCTTCTCTCTCTCCCCAACTCCCTCGCGCGCGCGCGCACACACACACACACACACATACACATACACATACACATACACATACACATACATACACTACGTAACCCTTCCCAGTGAAAACTTTCAAGCCATTTCTAAGACTTCAACCGGCAACGTTTACGCGCCCGAATTTGCTCATAGCTACCGTTGCCGTTGCAGCTTCTCTTACCCAGAGGTTCGAGTCCCGGCGGCGGCGGATTTTTGCTACATATGTAGGTCCAATCCAGCGTAATTGTCTGGAGGAGAATACTAACGGCCAGCTGCTCTAAGCGGTAGTTTCCCGGTTTTTTTTTTTTTTTTCGAGTAATACCAGGCGAAAGCTGAAGCAGTAACCTAACAAACCAACCAACCAAGGACCATGCGCGATCTTCCCTTCGTCATCTTTGTCCCCCTTCTTCCCATACATTCACACTCACACACATGCATGCTGTACACTACCACACATGTCAGGAGACCGATCGGGCGCCTTGAGCTTTTCCCGAATATCTTTCACAAGATGTACGGGACTAATGCGCGCAGTTGACGAGTCCAGAAACACAGAATCACTTTCTGTCTCTAGTTCTCTCGAACTAATTCACTCACTCACTCACTCTCACTCACTCACTCTCACTCACTCACTCTCACTCACTCACTCTCACTCACTCACTCACTCACTCACTCACTCTCACTCGCTCTCTCTCTCAATCGCTCTCTCTCACTCACTCGCGCTGTCACTTGCACTCTCTCTTGCTCCCTACCTACCTCACTCACTCTCTCGCTCGCTCTCACTCTAATTCACTCACTCATTCACTTACTCACTCAATCATTCACTCACCTGCCCTCAGCCAACGTAGTCGTAACGAAGGCGTGCGCGCCGCTTTGCGCAGGTCCGCGCGACGTGCTGCTGGTGGTGCAGCGCAACGACATCTCCAAGCTGTCGCTGGACACGCCCGACTTCACCATCTCGGCGCTGCCGCTGCACGACGTGAAGCACGCCATCGCCATCGACTTCGACCCGGTGGACGAGCTGCTGTACTGGACGGACGACGAGGCGCACGCGCTGCGGCGGGCGCGGCTGGACGGCTCGGCGCAGGAGGACGTGGTGACGGCCGAGCTGGGCCACCCGGACGGCATCGCCGTCGATTGGGTGGCGCGCAACCTCTACTGGACCGACACCGGCATGGACCGCATCGAGGTGGCGCGCCTCGACGGCAAGTACCGCAAGGTAGGTGCTTTCGTAGATGTTATAGGGTTCGAGGCCCACACCAGCTAGGTCGTGGAAAAATTCCTGCTTTTCTCATTAGTTGTTTTCCTCGGTTTCTCCCATCCTTACCAGGTGAACGTCGAAGTAGTTCCCTAATAAATAAGACACGAACCTCTCGCGATCTTTCCTCCCCCTTTATCTTACCTATTTCCAGTATTGGCTTACACTTTACAATGCAAGGAGGAAAGCCAGTCGGAAATTTGCGACTTCTACTTGCGTGAAGAGATGCTTGGGAGAGGAAAAATCATTTAGGCCGCCGCCGAGTGTCACTTCGTGTGACAAACGACCAAAGCAGTAGAAGCGCCCGGACACACTACATACTCGCTTCTGGCTTGCGGGAGGGATGTGCTGTATCTGGGAGGGAGGTCTGCATCAAATAACGATTTCAATTGTGAAAAACATAGATTTCGTTGTGAAACAATAAAGTAGGCATGGATAGTTGCAGACTTACGTCCGCCGCGAGCCAGTGTTGTGAGCTTCGCTTGCTCGTGTGTGTCTAACGCACGATGTAAATGGATTGAGTGTCGACTATATCTTTAGAGGAACATCAATTCTATCAAATACAATGTTACAATGGTGAGAGTTTTGTTTATCTATCCAATATCTGTGGCGGAATGGTATCATAAAACGTTGGTGATTCACAAAATTATGCAGAGGGGGTTGAGGAAAAAAAACTTGGCGGGTGACCCAGTTACTTCTGTAAACAAATATTGCCACGCAAGAGGCTTTGTTGATATTTGAAATATGTTAAGAACTCCATCTTTATTAAACGGGGCTGATATAACTATGGGAATTAGTATGTTTTCTTTTTTAAATAAACTTACACTTAAATGCTTGTTTGGTTTAACAGGTACTTGTTATGAAATTAAAAAGCATTTCCTTCGCCTAATCTTTCTCGTGTAGTATACTTACCTTGTGCATCCCTTCCCTCTCTGGGAGGGAATTGCCTCGTCAGGACATTGCCCGTCAGGACATGCCGCGTGCGCGGAATCGAGCTTACGATCATTCGCGCGCTCTCTCGTCGGAAGACCCAGATTCCTTCGCCAGGTCTGTGAAATAGTTGATTAATGTAACGGAGTATTACACCTCCCTGCCCTCCGCTGGCAGACTTTGCCTATGTTTTACAATATTGTGGGGCCTGGGTTGCATCTCGGAGTTAACAATCAGACTTAAGAGTACACGCTCGAATCATTCTTGTATCTGATTTTACTCCTATTAAAACGTAGAGCGAATTGACAGCGATCAGCAGGGACGCATTTATTCAATTCAATTCGTTACAACGCAATATTTCATCTGATCAAACATTAATTCGCACGTTTTAAACGGAGTATGTATAGATACGAAATGCAAAATAATTGTGATACGGTAGGACTTGTCAGAAGAATTGTGCGAACGAAACAGTATGTACTAGTTGCACCCATACATAAATTTCACTCTAAATAAACCATTGTTTAAAAAACAAAAGTAGCTGCATATTGGTACTAAGCTACGAACTGTCACCAGCTGATATGGGTCAAGGTAATCGCTGTTGCTACTGCAGCATCTCTGAGCAGAGATACCTGGAGGGAAAATTCAATAACCCCAAACCAAATTACTACATTGTGTAAATCGTTGTTTTAAAAGTAAAAATGGCTTCATATTGAAGTCCTGCTGTGAATGTTTCTGTCTACCCTTGTTAAGAAGTGGAGGTTCACTTCAAATGGAACATCCTCAATGATCTCATTTTGTCAATTAAGCAATGGAAACATAACTGTTCGTGTGTTCCTTCATGATCAGGTTAGCGGAAATTACTGTAGTGCTGTGAATAATTAATTCAAACATGGATTCTGTCAACATCAATAATTCAGAAATATGTAATCCAAAATAAGTGGCTCAACCCAGGCAGTCAAGCTGGGGTCAAATGAAAGAAGAATTCCCAGAAGTTTGCCAGTAGGCTAGTAGTACCCAGCAACATTTTTTCCTCTATTTTTCATTAAAATTTTATCAAATTGTCCCTTTTTTTTGATCTGCCATCATTTTTATTAATAAAATGCACAAATTGCAACAAATAAAATGCAACTACTTTTAAATTGCTCAAAGAAATTGTCATCCCGACTGGGAAACTAAACCAAGCCTTGCAGTTTAAACCAATTTTCTCCGCCCAATGAATTTCCAAGCCAATTATTACTTTGAACCATTTAAATTATTAAATACATTTGTTGCATTGTAACAAGGTCACATCATGGGAGACATTTACTGTATGGAACACATTAGAAACACATTTGTTCTGTTTTAACCCCTTCACAGTCGTGAATCGCAGGTTCAAATGACTGTTGGTTCCACTTCGTCGATTCAAGACTGTGAAGGTGTGTCTGCATCTGTGATTTTAGATACACAGGCTCACTGTTAGCCAACCATACTACATATGCTTGTACAAACTGAATTCCCTTTTGATTTATTTATATCAAGAAATAAATCAAAAGGGAATTGTTTTGTATTTTTGTATTTGGAATTTTGGAATTGTCTTGTGTGTTCCATCTAAATAGAAATTAGATATAGAAATGAGAAAAATGTAATATATGAATAAATATGTTGCTTTAACATCTAATGTAACATTATGTTATTTCTTGCTTCCTAGGTTTTGATAAGTGAGGATTTGAATGAACCTCGTGCAATTGCTGTGGCTCCTACCGAGGGATGGTTGTTCTGGTCAGACTGGGAAACTGGACGGGCTCGAATAGAGCGTGCAGCATTGGATGGCACTACTCGACGTGTTCTTGTCAATGAGAAACTGGGTTGGCCAAATGGCATTGTGTTAGATATTGAGCATCGCCACCTTTACTGGTGTGATGCAATGACAGACAAATTGGAGGTAAATAATAATATGTTATAAAAAAAATTAGTGAGGAATAGATTTCTTTTACATGTAAAGATATTTGTGTCTTGTAAATAATTTCTGGCCTTTTGATAAATGAGAAAGTAATAAGATTTTTGTTTGTGTAAATTTGCAGGTTGTTACGCTGGATGGTAATGAGCGTCGTGAAGTGTTGAATGATGGACTCCCCCATATGTTTGGTCTCAGTCTTCTAGGAGATTATCTGTATTGGACTGATTGGCAGAAGAGAACAATAGAGCGTGTTCACAAATTAACAGGGGGAAATCGTACCCTAATTGTTGAACAGCTTCCAAATGTAATGGGACTGAAAGTGATGCGTCTAGGTGAAGCTCCAGGAAATAATAGCTGTTCTGTGAATAATGCTGGATGCAGTCATTTGTGCCTAAACCGTCCAGATGGTCATGTCTGTGCCTGTCAAATGGGTAAACTTTCTGTTTCAAATCACTTTTTATAGTATAAAATTAAAATTCTGTTTTCCTGTTATCATATGAATATATTTTACATTTAGAGTCATGAATATTTACCAAAAAAATATTATCATTTTGGATAATTTTGTTCATAATTGGTGAGAGTTTTAGTTGTATTGAATTTTACTACATTTTGTGATAAATATATCGCATTTTAATTTGTTTGCAGATTATGTCTTTGATGTTTATTAATGATTTACCTGAAACCTTTTTTAACAAGATACATATAACTTGGATTTAGGGTTGTCCTTTTCTGTAGAAATTAGTGAGTTTAAAGTTATCAAAAAATATTATGAGGAAAATCTGTCACGAACTATATTGACTAATTTTTTAAAATTTAGTATAATGATTTGGTTTTTAAATGTATAGTTTAAATTTTTAACATGCCTGTATTTATTTTTGTTGTTATGGTGTTTAAGGTTATGAATTGACAGCAGATGAAAAAACATGTGTCATTCCAGAAGCTTTTCTCCTGTATGCTCGGCGTGAAAATATTGGCCGAATTAGTATTGAAAATAGCAAAAATGATGCAACAATCCCTGTATCAGGGGTGAAGGATGCAAGGTAATATCTCTTTCCAAACATGTGGTATAAAATATTAGTTAGGCCATTTGTATTAATTTTGGAGGGGAGGATGTGGATTCTCTTGTTTATGATTTTCTTAAAATGTTGATCGACAATACAAATATTCTGGTAAATAAATGTATGGCAAAGGAATTTATGTAGCATTAAATTGTATAACAATACTTAAATATTTGTACCTTTACAGAAGATGTCAATACATTTCAGTTTTAACATTCAACTAAGAGGAAAATTATTTTATAAAAAAAGTGGTCTTCTCTCTTTATTAGCATTTTAAATCTATTTATTTCACATTGTTTTCTATTATAGTGCCTTAGATTTTGACATTAATGACAACCGGATCTACTGGACCGATGTTCGTCTCAAAGTCATTATGAGAGCTTTTATGAATGGTTCTGACGTGCGTAAAATTATTGAACTAGGACTTGATACTCCCGAAGGTACACATTATTTTATTTACTCATATAAATGCTTTTCAATTTCTTGTAAATATTGGTTTTATTTTAATACTCTCATGTTTTGATAGGAATGGCTGTGGATTGGGTTGCTCATAATATCTATTGGACTGATACTGGTAGCATGCGAATAGAAGTTGCCCGTACTAATGGTAGCGCCCGAAAAGTACTTTTGTGGAAAGGTTTAGATGAGCCCCGAAGTATTGTATTAGATCCGCGAGAGGGGTAAGTCAGTGTATATTTGCTTGTGGAAAACTAAGTTTTTAAACTTCAGTTGTAACAAATGATGTGTATTGTAAACTTCTGAAATATTCTTCAGGTACATGTATTGGAGTGATTGGGGTAATCAAGGGCGTATTGAAAGAGCTGCTTTGGATGGATCTCAGCGTAGTGAGCTCTTTCTGAAGACAGGTCGAGCAAGAGGCCTAACTATTGATTATGCGACTCGACAGCTGTACTGGACAGATAGTTATCCTGCTGCCCTATACATGGCCAGCTTGGATGGTCGCAACCGACGGGAGCTAGTGACTCAGGGTTTGGAATGGCCTTATGGCTTGACACAATACCAGGTATTTATTTTTACTTTGTGACAAATTTTAATTTTTCTAACCAATGCTTGAGCCATTTCTGTAAGAGCAATAAATGCAACACAATTTTGTATGTTATTTTCTTGTTTTCAAAATTTGGCTTTATGTGACATTATTCAACACTTCCCTGGTGAACAGTGTAGTATTTTAGTCCTTAATTAATTAAATACTAGTAATTTGTAAACACATATTAAATATAATTTTTTTGTTTATTTCATTTTCCTTAGAAGTACCTTGGAAGGGTTGACCAGAAATTAAAAAAAAAAAAAGTATTTAAAACATAAAAATTAAGCCATTCAGCTTGTGGGCGGGAAAAGAAGAAAGAGGGGAAAAAGAAAGATTTATTTTTAATTCTAGAAAGGAACATGCAAAAAAATAGGAAGAATACTTTTTTTTAAGTGCCACTTTTATTATGTATTGTAATATAATTGTCCTGTCACCCTTATGGCCAAAACAAGTTAATTTTGTAAAACTTTTGTAAAAGTTTTTTATTCACAATTGCCGAGCGTACAGAGAAGCCGTTAACATGAGTAGTCACAAAATAACCAGGAGATTTATCGGGGACTTGCCAAATTAACCAAAATCTGAATACTGATGTCCAAACACGATGCCGTTATCGTGATCTAAATACCCGAAGAGGTCTGTTATACTGGCCGGCAGCGTATTCACTCACTCGCACTCTTGTGGCTCGCACTATGATGGGACGATTGTAACTGGCTTCACTGCTCACTGAGCGCCGTTTTATACCCGGTCAGGACTGAAGGTTCGCCGACTGGCCCGGCCGTACGGACGATGGCGCGCTCGGTCGCGTTGACCTCTCGTGAGCGGTGTCCGTATTTTCCTGGGGCGCCGTCGCCTCGCTGCTGCGCCCCGGTGCCGGTTCTTTCATAGGGGCACGGGCGACTACTACAGTCACATTGAATGAACTCTCCATACATGTTTTTTAAACCTGGATACTATTTCACATTATTTACTAGGAGTGTGATTAATCTATTCACTGTTTTTGTGAATTTTCAGGTAATAAATATAATAAATAATTTTAAAATAGCTTATTGTTGCACCTCCAGCTGGTAATTTCACGATAAAAAAGTTTAATTTGTGCATTGCAAGTTCAGACAATATTTTAAACATATTACAGTTGCCCCTCTATCCTCGGTCATAGAAAGTTACTTTTAAAAAAATGTACTGTCACGCCCACATCTCTAATTTAACGTCGAACAGGCAAGCTCTTCGACTCCTGCTGGTTACCTACAAGTGACTACAGGAGGATGAACTTGTTATATAGAAATGAAAGAAGATATTCAGTGAACATAATTTCTCTACTTTAATGTCTATAATCACGAATAAAATTCAAATGAGCTCATTTTCCATAAAAAATAATTAGTTTACATTAATTCTTTACCCAAAAAAAACTCGTTACATTGAAAGATTCAGAATTTTTTTCTAAATTCGCCAATGCGCGGCCGAGAGTTACCATTACTATCACTTGTGGTTGTTTTTTAGTCTGTTCATAATTTTTGCCTGAAGGGCTGACACTAACCACGCCAGGTTAGGCGGATGACACTGACAGTTTGTTCTCGATGTTGTTGGCCTCACTCAGCTGTTCCGGTCTTTTTTCGGGGCAGAGTAGGCTGGCTGGCAGGCTGGCTGCGTGGCATTTGAGGGCATGCGGCCCCGGGCGCAGGTAGCAGAGTTCGTCGGGCGCACAAACGAGTTTCCTCCTCGCACTAAGATCGAATCAGTAGGTGTTCATAGTTCGTGTTTCTAATCATTCTCAATTTTCGCGACTCTTAATCAAATTCACCGGAAAAGTGTGTTCCGAAAACAGGTTTACGTAATTTGAAAAAGTTCAATCACAGAATTACGCAAGCAGAAACTTTGTGATAAGAAACAGCAATTTTGTTTCTTTCTTTTAACATCGCCTATTAGAATAGACTTAGAACATTTTGATACCTCCCTGTTGCCACTGATCTCACGACTGGCAATCAACCAAGAGGCAGGCAGCCTCTTATGATGCGATGGCCAAATAATAAGTTGGTGCTTGCAGCCGGTAGAGAATCTGTTCCACCTCTTCTTTTCTCACCACCCCCCCCCCCCCCCCAGAAAGTTCTAGATCGCTCTGAAATAATGACCAGACCACGCCTAGCTATTGGTACAAGCTAAGTACGCCGCAATTAAACTTCGGCCAATCATAGAAGGCACCTGAGGGGTTCCTTCTAGGAAATTCCATTATCTCCATCGTTGTTCCTCATACTGTTTATTAAATGCACGTGGCTTTGGTGCGTAAGTGATCGTCGTCGCTGTGGCCCAAACTTTTTCATTATTATGATTTAATCGTCGCCAGGTTCGGTGGGCGGGCGCGGGGGTGGGCGCAGGGATGGGCGAAGGGTGCAACTGCCTTCTTACCCGTTCCTCACCCTTCCGTAAACAGAGGGGATGGGGTCTCGGCTGCAGGCGTTTCATTTAGGGCCCCTCCCCACGGCGCGGCTGCGGCGCGCTTCGCAGCAGCGCGGCGCGTAACAGAGCATTGGTTTGAATGGAGGCCTTCCCACGTGCAGCGGGTGGCGGCTGCTGCGGCAGCCAACGCCGAACTCCAGCTACGCGAAGCGGAGGAGGGGCCATGCGCCACCTCTAGCAGAACACAGCTTTAAATGGGAGCGTTCCCACTGCGCCGCGGCCGCAGCGTTCTACCTGCTCCGGTCCCTTTGTTCGTCGTCGCCGGAGGGTCGGCCAAACCTACCCCTCCAGACCCCACCTCCTTCCACGGCAGGCGGCGGTGCGGCCGTGGCTCTGGCGGTGGCTGCGTCGGAAGGGCTCTGCTCCTTGAAGGAAGCGCGCCGCGGTCGCGCCGTGGGAAGGCGCCCTTACTGTAGGCGCTCACAAAGAAAGAGAGGGGCGGGCAGGCGCCGCCTGTCCGGCGTTATTGAAATCAACAAGGGCTGTCAAGTGCGTCGTTTTTTACGACACATTTGGTCGCATTTCAAAAGAACCAAGAAACAGTATTTTAATTACTAAAATTCAGTGACGCTACAGTACTTGTTTACATTTTTGTTTCATTACAAAAATATATTTAATTATCGCCAGTCTGATGACTCAATTTTCTCAATTCATATATATACCAGAATGAGAGAATAGTAATCCACAATGAATCACCTCTGTACTTGCAGGTGATTTGAAACTATCAAAATCTGTTTTCCAGAATTCTTCCAGAATATTCTTGAGGGAACTGGCTAAGAATTGCATAAATTGATTTGTCTTCTTGGGCGGAATTGAATGAGCTATTGATTTCTTCTGATGGTAATATGTCACCCAAGACACTTTTTAGTTGCTTAAAAAACAAAAACAAAAAAAAAAAAAATTTTTTTGGTAAATTTCTTGGAATCTTCTGTATGCATCCGCCTAAATTATCAGTTCCCCACCTGTAGACTTTCATGGGATTTTCAATTTCATGGGAATGAGAGAGCAAAAGGTAAGTGTGGTACACGAAATTCGCCAGGTTGCTCGTTTTAGGGTTAGGAAAAATATTTTTTTTATTCATTATTTCTTTCATTGTATGGACACCACAATTGAAATGTAATTATCTAAACAATATCTTATGACTTAGTTACAAATTTAATTAGTAGGTTACCTGAAAGTTATTTCAAATTTTAATCATATAGAGTTTGTATATACCGTATTTACCCGAATATAAGAAGAGTTTTTTTCTTCGAAATATCTCAGTCGAAAAATGCTGGGTCGTCTTATATTTGCAGATTGAGCCTAGTCGGTTAGGATTTAAGTTTCTACATTGCCATTCCATGTCATGAAACTCATTGTTGACGTAACAATAAACTGCGATGACCATAAAAATATCGCGCGTAACAATACGTAATTATATTTGCGTTCGTATTCTCGCTCTACCGCGAATTTGTGGGGAATTCAGACCGATATTTTTGAATGGGCCTGTAAAGAAAATCTCTAACGGAATGACATCGTATCAAATGAAACGTAACGTGAAAATGTATGCCGAGAGTTTGTTACACGATGCAGGTTCGACGAAACCGTGCGGATTCTCGGTTCGACGCCCGGCGAATACGAATTTGCTCTTTGAACAGAAACTGAGGCCATAAACCAGTGCGGAATGGATTGAAAATTTGGCGACGGAAGGGAATGTTCTTAAAAGGCGTCTTATGAAGGACTATGAACAACGCAAAATTTAGTCTTTCAAGAGGGGTCTAAAAAGTTAGAACTGTGACATTTTCTAACTTTTCAGCGATAACTCTAACATTTTCATCAACAAGACAGTTTTCTAGTCAATAAGACATTTTGTAATTTTATTTTGACTAAATAGGAAGAATTAGTTAAAAATTCTCAGGAGGCTTCTTTAAAATTAGGATGTTGTCTTATATTCGAAGTTGACTTAACTCAGGTAAATGCGGAAAATTAAGCATTTTTGTTTAAATTCAATGGTTACACTGTCTATTGGCCATATTTTCAGAGTTAGGCTTTTATTATATTTGCGTGAAAATTAAAATGGGCGATATAATTTTGCATTAAAACTATTTAAAGTATTAAAATATCAAAGTAACTTTCGTCCATTTTTCATAGATAGAGGTGGAAATTATTTGCTTGCCATTGCCTCTGAACTATCTGCCTATGCCTCTGACCAGATCGGTCAAAGGATTACAGATTTAAAAAAAAAAAGTGTGAGTCCATATTTTGTTCAAATTAATGTTTCTTGTTTATTTTCCTTTTCCAGAATTTTATCTACTGGTCAGATTTCAAATCTGGCAATATTGAATGTGTCGACAAAATGACAGGACTGAACCGAACACGCATTCATGAAAATCTCAACAGTACCACAGATTTGCTAGTGTTCCACTCATCCCGACAGGCTGGATGGAACCAGTGTTTTCAGAATGGTGGCTGTTCCCATTTGTGTTTAGCTCTTCCTGCTGGAGAAACTCCTATTCCTGGAATTGGTGGTCCTCATGGCACTAACAGTCATGGTCTCCCTCAACCTACACGGCAGTCGACTACTTACCGGTGTGGTTGCCCTACTCACTATACGTTAGCTGCTGATAATCAAACATGCAAAGGTGAGGACTGCTTTGAAATGCTTATCCAAAAATAATTTCTGAAAAGAAATGTTTAAAAAGCCAATATCATTATCAATCACAGTAATCATTAGCTGGTTTAACTTCTGAAAACAAATTTAGTCTGCTAAGCATAATATCAATATGTGAGATAGATTAAAATGTACTTATTAACTGATCTTTCAAATCTCTTTGTAGCTCCTGAATCATTCCTTGTATATAGTCAACGGAATCTTTTAACTAGACTGCTTCCTGACACTGATGATTGTCCAACTGCTGTACTTCCAATACACAATTTGAAAAATGTGCGAGCTATTGAATTTGATCCTGTTTCACAGTTTTTCTATTGGGTAAGCATTTTGCTCAACATTTTTTATAATATGTAGCTTGAAATTTGATTTTAACTCTTCAGTTTTTGTGCTAATTTTTGGTTTAAATACCTAAAATTAAATAAAAGTGATCATTTCTCAAACATAAGGAAGTATTATAATGATGAAGTTCTAAAAAAATGCTGTCTAATTGCAGGTTGATGGAAAGTCACAGTCAATACGACGTGTATATGATAATGGGTCTCATGCTAGTGTTTTGGTTCCTGCTGGCTCTCGTCATCATCCTTATGACCTGGCAGTGGATCCGTACCGTCGATTATTGTTTTGGTCTTGTGCATCTGCAGATGCCATCAATGTGTCTCGCCTTGATAATGGGACTGAAGTGGGAGTGGTTGTCAAAGGCACTGATGAAAAGCCTCGTAGTATTGCTCTTCATCCTGAGAAAGGGTTGGTTTGCATTTGTTTTTGGAATATTGCTTTGTTAGATTAAAAGGAATGCTACTCATTTGTTTTAATCTTGTTATTATGTTGTATATGTTTTACTCTGTATTTGATATCAAAAAATTTGAAACAGTTACAAATTGAAATAATATATTTTGGGCTGATGCATAAACTCATATATTTTGATGATTGTTTAAATGCTTTTGTCCATTATGATGACATGATACGTTAACCTGAGAGTCCTCAAAATGAGCTGTGACCTTTTCACCAGTGAATGTCATTTGCATACCATTTGTAAGGAGAAAAGAAATAAAGAACTTAATAATAGTTTTTGCAGTGAAAAATTGGAAAAAACATTATGAACTTGTGCATCAACCATTAGATCCAGCCCGCATTATTCATATACTGATATTTTTGATTTTCATTCTCTCAGTTTCCTCTTCTGGGTGGATGTGGGCCAACGTCGTGTGGTGCGTTCACAATTGAATGGGCAGAAGAGAGAGATTATTTCTCAGGAAGAGACTGACCAGTTATCCGCTCTTGCTGTGGACCGAAGGGAAAACAGAGTCTTCTGGGTATCACTTCATCAAATTAAAAGTGCTGACCTAGATGGCCGCAAAAGGTACTTGTTTTTAAAAATACTAGTAGGTGTAGTACCAGTAGGTGGCCATAATACGCATTTAGGTAAAAACATTCTTGCATTGTTGCCCTCTCAAGAATGCATTTACCTAAATACTATTCATTTCTGTCATTTACTGTCATACTATTTATCGCTATTTACATTTCTTCCCATATTTTGAACCAAAGAGAAAAAGGCTACTCCAGACCATTGAACATTTTGATCCATTGTCATTTAGTTGAGAAACTTATAAGAGAAGTACCTGAACGTGTGCCATTGCATCACACGGAAGGAAAAGCTGTAGTTATGACTGAAAATACTGCATATCCATGAAAATACATGTTTATGTGTACCAAGATCATTACACATATACACATTAATATTGTTAATACCACGAATCCTGCTAACCTTACCTTAATGTAGTGATTGAATTTTTTAATATCATCACTGAAATTTTTATATAAATGAACAGTTGTCAGTCACCTAAGTGATATTATTGAGATTAACAGGTCATTTATTGTTGATCAGAACTCCCTCACCTCTTTGGTGTTTTCCATTTCCCACGAACTTGCCAAGTTGAGCATGACGCTATTCTTCCCTTTCCTTTCTAGCTGCTCATTTCAAACAATGCAAATTTTATAGATTTTTATTAATAAAAGAAAGCTGCAATTTATTCAATATATAGTGCCCTCCACTCTTAATTTTTTCTTCTTGTTTTTGGAGGGGGTAATTCACTTTTTTTTAAAAGCTGCTCACTGGTAGGTGATTTGGAGGGTCATCAAAATAGTTCTCTTCAGAGTTTTAATATATATGACGTTTTATTAGTTACATTTTGTGTTGTCTTCTAAGGAATGTTTAATAGGTAGTTTATTCTCAAATTTATTCCCATAGTGCTATTATTCTGGATCTGGATCGCGATGCTTCAGCCAAACAGTTGGCTGTCCTAGGACAGTGGCTGTATTGGGCTGATGCAGAAAGACAGCAAGTTGTTCGTGCCCGTAAAAGTGATGGACAAAAACAGTCAGAAGTTCGTGGTCGTTTAGTGAACCTCTCTGATCTGGTAGCCGTTCAAGTACCTGATCCAGAGGTAAGTGTTTTGTTGTATTTGCTATATTTCAGAGTAGAATTGTCAAAACTATACTAATTTCTTTGATTGAGTGTTTCAATATGTTTTATGACTTGCTAATCTATGTGTTATTTGTGTCATAGATGCTGGAAGGGCATCCTTGTTCATGGCAGCGTGATCATGGTGGCTGCTCACATTTGTGCCTTGTGAGTCCCGAGGGAGCTGCTGAATGTGGTTGCCCTGTAGGCTTGGTGTTTGGACGTGATGGCAATGAAAAAAATTGTGTAAAGCCTCCCAATTGTGGAGATAATATGTTTATGTGTGCTGGTATCGGCAAGGATTGCATTCCAATGGAATGGCGGTGTGATGGGTTTGATGATTGTCCAGATAGTTCAGACGAGATAGAATGCCCTGCATGTGGACCTGATAAATTCTTGTGCCGATCTGGAGGATGCATTGGTAGGTAGAGTTAACAATATTTTCTCAAAGATATTTTGAATACACAATTTTGAACACAATAATTTGTGATTTATTACTATTATCTTCATGTATTTTGCAGCTCGTGAAAATGAATGTGATGGGATAGATCATTGCACCGACCGGTCAGATGAATTGCACTGTTGTGCAAAGCCTGACATGTTTCGTTGTGCTACAGAACATTGTGTACGACCTGAGCTTCGATGTGACAACTATGTAAATTGCCGAGATGGTTCAGATGAGACTGCTCCGGACTGCCCTGCTCAACGTGAGTAGTAGTATGATTTGCAATTTATAAAATCAGTTGATGTAGGCATCATTTTAGTCCAGTATTTGAACAGGCAGCCATTCTGAGACGGTTAAACATGTTACTTGTTTTTGTGAAAGAATAACTACTCTAGATATGATTAATCACCATGTCTATCAAACAGAAAGTAATAACTCAAATAAATAAAGCTTTGCAATAAATATGGTGCACTTGCCTGGACATAGAAGACTGGACTCTGGACTTAGAAAAGTGTTGTTTTCAGATATGGATTGGTTATTTAAACTTATTATACAGTCTAACTTTAATGTTTTCATAAAGGTATAAGCTTCATTTAGTGTAGCTGTTCAAAATATTATTTTTAATTCTGTGTTCAGCTATATAAAAACTGATTCTGTGTTCTAATATTTAAAGAATCTGCTGTAATGTGACTGTAGGAATCAGTTTTATCCATCTTAAAAACAAAACATTGAAAGGAACTGTAATTTATAAATAAAATTCCTCATGAGTAAAAACTAGATTCTTGTGTTACTGCATCTTTTCTTTGCTAATTTGAAATTAGATCAGACAGAAATTGACAGATATTTCAATCATGAAATGGAAGTTAATTTATTTCTCGTTTTATTGTGCATGAAATTGCACGTTTAAGGGGTTACTGCACAATATAGCACATATTAGATAATGCTGCTTGAAAATTGCACATTTTAGGAATTTACTGGATAAATTTTCAAGATTCATAGTTTTATTGTATGAAGTATAATTTTTGTATAATCAACTTATTTTAATATATCTTTTTTAATGTTTCATTTAAGAAAAACATTTTTATGACAACCCAGCAGTGTATTCGGGTGGTCTGTGAAACCCAAGTGCCAGTTAATATGTATCAATTCTACATTTTGTTGCAATGAGAACTGAGCTTCTGTACCTTTTATGATGCTTACTGTCAAATCAGCAGGGGTTCATGACCCTTGGTTGCAGCTGCTCAGCAAATGCTATTTTCGGGGTCTATCTTCCAAATCGAATCATATATCCGTTTTGTCAATCTTTGCTTAGTGACAAGCTGCACTGTGTTTCAAATTGATAGAATTTCTCGAAACAATGTTGCCCTGTGATGTACAAGAAACAATGAACTCAGTTTTTGTACCGCTTTTAGCAGCATGCACACCTATGTCAGATTGAAGCTTGGCACACAGACTAATGTAAATGTAGAATGAAGTTTTTCCTGTCTGAAATATATTTGTTTATAGACGATACAAGTTCCCAGAAAATAATTCGGAAATATATATAATTGTAAATTATAATGAAAACAATTAAGAATATTTCTTTTGTGTGTTGGTTATTTTTGATTTCTGAAGGTATATTTGTAATTTTCTTTTTTTGTATTTACTTGTTTGTATTTGTATGCTAATTTTTTGTTTGCAAATAATATTTGAAATGTTAAATGTGGTTTGTTTAAACAATATGTACAGATTTAATTGTAATGAAAACAACAGAATTATATTTCAATCACATTACATGTCACATTTACATTATAAAAATAATTTGATAAGTGGATTGACTAGAGTTTTTAGGCTACATGGCATTGTTTTACAAAGTTTTGATCTTTTCGTTGCATGTTTTTGAATGATTTAGTGTTTCTACCGCACTATTTTACTGCATGTTTTAGAGAGTTTTACTGTACGATAATCCGGTCTTTACTCATGAATAAATAAATATTAAATTGCATTGCTTGTTAAAATGTATTCCTTCATGAAAATGAACTTGATTTGGTTGAGAGTATAAGGTCACTAAAATAGTAAAGTTCACAGCTACAAAGATTATGTATATTGATTTAATTTTGTTTGGGTGCTTTGTCAGCAGAAAGCAGTAAGAGTACCTACTTGGTGGTGATAGTTGTGGCATCAGCAGCATTGGTGTCTTTGGTTGGTCTGGCTTACTATTGCCATCGTCGTCTTCTTGGGGCCTCAGCATCCACATTGGATGATGATTTGGGTGATTCGGCTGGAGATCCACTTGCTCCAAAGGCTTGTCGTGCTGTTGGCAAACCAATCTGCCAGGTAATAATGTTTTTTCATCTGAACATCCACAATCTTTGGGAACAGAAATAAGTAACAGAAACCATAGAACTGAAAATATTGAAACAGTTTATTTAGAATTGTGTTAGGCCAACAATGGCATTATGCTCTGCACAGTGGTTCCTATTACTGTTTTACCTGGTTTCTACTGTTATTAAATTTAGGTAGATTTTAGTTTCTAGTATGAAGTCAAGTGTGAGTGTTGAATGTTCTTTCTGGAAATTTAACTTGAGGCAAAGCAAGGCCACATTACCTAGTGAGCAACTCTTCCTAGCGGTGTAGATCTTTTGTAATTTAGGTTTTGAAAGCTTGTGCCTTTTGTTGTTACAACTGCTTGTTAAAAGGCAATTTGATCTCTTCAGTATTTTTTTCTAATCTCTCTGAATCTTTTGTGTGAAGATTACAGATGTTCTTTATTTCCTCCTGAAACTTGATGGGCTCCCACCTATATGAAAGACAAAGTGACTAAAGTGACTAAACTAATATTCTTTCTAAATATCACAATACTTCATCAGCCTTTTGTTAGCTTAAAAATTTGAAAACTTATCAAGCACTTAGGATTTTTTTTCCCGTTAATAAAATGAATTAGAATGAAGAGTGTATTTTCTTTCAAGGATGTTATTTTTAGAACATTAATGGCTTATATGAAACATTGTATTTTGGGAAAATTGTGAACTAAAAATAAACAATTTTTCATTTTCAGGTTACTGCATTGCAAAAGAACGGTCATAGAGGTATAGGAATGGCAGCTAAATCACTGCCGAAGGTTGTGGGAATCGGAAATGGGGGCACAGGTGGCTGCGGTGTTGATGGTGTTCGCATGTCGATTCTTAATGGAGGCAGCACTACCACTACATCTAACAGTTATGACCGGAGCCATATCACCGGAGCTTCTAGTTCAACCACAGAGGGTGGTGGTGGGGTTGCTCCACTCCTCGTCTCATCCTCCTCTGTGCTGGGTTATCCCTGTGAGACTCTAAACCCTCCACCCAGTCCAGCCACGACAGCTGATTCTGCTCGGCGTCATCATCGTCATCACATGGCTTGTGATGATGACTACTGGTGCTCTTCCTCTGGTGCATCCCGTTTCCGTCCATATCGTCATTATCGTGCTATTAACCAACCCCCACCTCCTACGCCATGCAGTACTGATGTGTGTGATGAGTCTGATTCTAATTACCCCCCAGGTCGTCGATATTGTGGTCCTCCATGTTCAGAGTATGATTCTGATCCATTTCCACCTCCTCCCACTCCACGCTCCCATTATTTGAGTGACTGTGGAGCAGGGGGTCTCACAACTTCATGTCCACCATCTCCCTCTTCAACAGCAGGTCGATCTTCTACATATTTTAATCCTCTTCCTCCTCCCCCATCTCCTGCTCCCTCACCCATCGGTCGCTGTGACTGCTGATACATCTGGATGAACATGTTCCTGAAGGAAAGGCACAGTTGTCCTGTGAACTAGTGAGTATATTTATATAGCTCTTCATATTAGAAATTTGTTAGAAGACAATAATTGATTCAGTTTTGATAATTTAACCCCATGTTACTTACGCAATCCATTTTTATCAAACAAAAAGAAAACATTTACACAAAAATAATCTGTCCTCACAAAAATTAGGATATCATTGTGCTAATGCAGGCTTTGTATTAAATATTGTATCCAGTTTGAAATTAAGCAATATCTAATTCATTTTTAAATCTCTGAAATTAATTGGGAGTTTCCTTTATTTACATTCCCTATCAATTTAATTTTCTTTTCTTCCTTTTTTGGTATTAATATGCTTACACTGTGAATAAATACAGTCAAAATGAGGCTTTTCATACTTGGGTTTTCCTCGTGGAATACATTTCTATTCAAAACATACACGAATACACGGTTATGTGATTAGTGATTTTTGAAAGCGATTTGGAAGAGTTTCTATTTTTGTTGTTGCAAGGAACAATTGTTTCCAGAATTTGATGGTGTAGTAAAGACAATAGATTAATTACAAGAGGCAAGAACAATTAAACATTCTAGCAAAACAGTAACTGTGGTTAAACTTTGAATACAATATAGAAAAAAAGATTACCAGATTTTTTTTTAATAAAAACTCCCTCTTTTTTTTTTTTATTGGCGACAAAAATTGGAAGGGAAGGAGAGTATTTTGAAATGAAGTGACACATTTTTTCCAAAATTGTCTTTTGTTTTGACATTTCACATATTTTTTTTCTCAATATGTTTTTCAATTGTTGTTAGGCTGTGAAAATTCATTTTAATTTCGATAAGATTTACTTTCCAAAAATGTAGATTATTTTATGAATTGCTTGCAGGTTTGATCACTCTGAATGGTTATTGAAAATGGCCTAATGGAAATGCTGGGAGAAGAAGTCTCATTCACACTACATATTTCATATTTTTATTACAAGAAATGCTTGCTGCTTCCTAGTATTTGTTTTTAAAGAAATGAAAGAAATAAGTGTGAAATTATTTCTTACAACTTCAGAGGAATTCTTTATAAGTGGTCAGTAAAAAATAACTCTGCTTGTTGTAGCCTCAGTAATAGTAAAGGAACTAAGTGAGCAAGAATTCAACCATCATTTACTCATAATGGATACGAAGAGTTTTTAAGTGACTGACAGGTGATCAACCACTATCTGTGATACATTCTCATAAATCTGTATACAAGTGATATATGTATATATGTAAGTAGTCTTAATTTAGAAAGATATTTGATGTGCATGCTTTTGAGTAGATTATTTTATAAGTTATTTCATTATTGAAAAATTATGTATTCATGCATCTGTTGAAAAGGTTCATGAGTAACACTGCCATATGTTTAATAAAAAAAATTTAATTTGATGTGCATGATTTGAAAAACCAAGAAGCAATAGTTTGAAAGGATTATTTATAGCTTGTGCCTTATGAGAGAATCGGTGAATTTCAGATTATGACTTCATGGTGTTTCATTCCTTGCTTTTATTTGGTTACTCTGCTTGATATTATTTTGTACATTTCACTTCAAGTATTTTATATTATTTTGATTTGCTACTAGAAAGAAATGAGTGACTGAAACTCAGAAATGTACTTAAATTAGTTCTTTGTCTAAGGATGTATTTAATTATCATGTAACATTGTCTTTCATAACACAACATTGAATTTAGATGTTCTGTGGAATGTTGCTTTTGTTATTGTTGGCTGATATCCATTTAATAATTATCAAAGAATTATGGAAAAAAAAATTTTTTTGTTGCTAAACTCGTTAGTTACATCTCATTTAGTACATGAAGTCTGAATTCAATGTTGTTTTTTTACTGTATATTAATAAATATGTATGCTATTTAGCATTGTAAGACGGGTAGACCTTTTGTGTATAATATTTTATATTTTAAATCCCTAATAATTCAATGCAATGTAAAGCAGCGTGAACAAATTGAGATAAAGAAACAAGAAGTATTGAGTTGCAACCAAAATTTGTAAATGTAAATTGAACAAATCTTTCTAAATGAAAATTATTACATTACTTGACAATTATATGTTATATTCCGTAACAATTTTGAAACTCTTGTTTCTTTTCCTTACTCCTTTTTAACTGAAAAAAGGTAAACTAATTTACTGTAGCTACCTGGCTTGGATATTGTTTATTATTACCTAGTTTATTGAAAAGTGTGCCCTTAAGAGTTAATATTTTTATCATTAGCTCTTTCAGATTGTTTACTTGAAGAATTTACTGAAATTTTGATGATTCTTGTTGATCATGAATTGAATTTTCTCAATATTGAATCTGGACAAAATTCATATATTTTTTATCTCAGTGTCTTATCTCATTTTTCTTTAATTTGGCTGATTCAGTGTTTGCATTATTGGAAGTTACATTTTTTTCTTAATTTGTGTTTGCAATAAGAAAGGAAACTTTTTAATTTAGTTTATTGACAAATTTCTTCATAAGTCTTCAGTTGAAAAAAAATCTTGGTTTTCCATAACTTTCCATCTGACTCAAACTATTGACTGTATTAAGAAGAATTATTCTGACATTATAAAAATTTGAAATTTTGACAATTGTCTCTTTTTCCTGAAAACAGTCTCCCCCTGGCAACAGTCTCATTTCTGCATTTTCATAATAATTTCTTTTTGATATATTTTATAAAATTAAATATTTTCATTATTCTTATTAAGTAAGATGAAAGACATAATAAACTTAAAGTAAAATGTTTAATGCTCAGATTTTCTATTTACTGTCCATATTATTATGGTAGTGTCCCTAATATCCATTTGAAAATGCAATAACATAAAAATAATATTATTTAAATTACATTTTCAAATTGGTAAAGTCTTTATGTGCAAAAAATTGTGACTTCTGTTAATGTTAACCTCCCAATTATCTAGTTACAAGTACGCTTCTTGGGGATTTTGTATCAAGTTAGTTTCCAGAAAATTCAGTTTTTAAAGTAATTAACTGTATTATCACAAGTTTTAAAAAAAAATTGAATTTGTAGTATTTTAAGAACTATTTCAGTTTTTAAAATGCATTTATTGTTTTGATTTTATATGTGAACTCATGAATTTACTCTTGTTTCTTGAATCTATTTATCTTGACTGCTTGTAAAAAATGTTGCTGAAAAATTTAATATTTAAAATTTTAAGACTGTTGAGTACAATATTTTTTGAAGTTTTCACTGAGGATACTTCAGTTACAAGGATTATCTAGTATCACTATCTTAGCTCATATCGACCATTCAATGTGATTAGAGCTTCTTGTGTTATTTAGAGAACCAAATTCAAATTTTATTTTTGTGCTGTTGTGTGCTGTACTAATTAATGTATGATTAATATTTATTTAGCTTTCTTGTGCAAAATGCTTGTCATTATTATTTATATTACAGCGTGAAATGTAAAGCATTAATTCCTTACATTTTGCTCAATTTATCATTAAGTACAAACTATAACATTATTATCTCAAAGGAAAATTGGATATTTGTACCTACTCTGTTCAAAAGCAAAGAGACGCTGGAATATTTTATTTGGTGATAGGATGTAGATTCGAACATTATCTTGTAACTGTATATACCCTCAGTGTGCAACTTCTTCAAGGTAACTAATATATTTCAATATATAAAAATTAATTAATAAGAATGGCAGGAGATTGGGGAGATATGATAGAGAAAATAAGTGACTTGCAGTCCCTATTGAGTTGCTCTCTTAATTCCTGACTGCACGAGAGATTTTACAGTGAATTTTTTCTGAAGGTCTCACATTGCAAAGAGTTCATCAATAGATGACATTAATTTTCCTTGTGAATGAAATGTAAATAAGTTACATAACTGTACATCATATTTAATTGGCTGAGATGTTGGTGGCAGCTGCAGAAATGAATTATTAGAATGCTTTCGGTGAAAATAAGTGAAGACCTAAATTTTAACAATCAAGTGCCTTTACTCGAACTATTATTGTGAAGACTATTATCTGGAAATGCTTTGCTCATACTAAACTTGAAAACCAGTAAAATATGGAAAACTTTATATGTATTGCCAACATAGTGCATTAAAGGCATTTCCTTTGCCTCATATCTGCAAAGCAATTAGTGGTTGAAAAGACTTCATTAAATAGTAACTCCCTTTTGTGTTTGTTTTATTTACATCAATTATTTGAAAGAAAATATAGTTAATGTTACTCGCACATAATGTTTTTTTTTTCTTCAATTATTCGGTGAAGTTTGGTAATGACATTACAAGTGAAATTAATACATATCTGTAGATAAAAACATACTCTTTAGTTTTTCATAATTTTAAATTTTTGAAAAAAATTACATTTGCATTCTGTAAAATGTGCTCAAGTTGATATTAATTTATTTTCATCTATTGTAAATGCTTTTTCTAAAACATTCATTGATAAACAATAAAATTATTACAGGTACTGTGAAGTCTAGTTAAATGATGGCATGCAAAATTTTGTAATGAAATGTAAATGTGTATATATAATGACTGTGAAGGAACATTCTGGCTACAAAGTGTTGTTTAACGTCAATTTTTTTTAAGTCCCCCATAACCTGATTTGTATTTCTAATGTAAGATCATGAAGATGATCTATGATCATGTAGAAGATAAGAATGAAAACTGAATACTATTTTCTCTTTGCTGACATTCAAGACCTGCAGTTGTAATGGCAATGATTTCTGACAAATTATTATTTGATTGTGCTGCTGTTCTTGAAATAATTGTATATTTGTGCTGTTGATGCTGTAAGCTTACAGTCACATTGTTATTTCCTCAATTGTTCATATTTCTTAATCATCATGTAAATTTTTTCTTATATACATGACACATTAAACCTCATGTTGTTAATACCTTGATTTATTTATTGGATTGTCCCGAAGTCCCAAACAAAATAAAAGTAGGAAATGTTTGCGTTAGCCGTGTTTTGTTCATAAAAACAGAATTTGTTTTGTTCATAAGTGAGTTTGTAAATGTTTTAAGAAAGAATACATTCTGTGAATTTGTAGATCTTTGTGTAATTGTGAATTGTGCAAAACTGAGAAGCATTCATAATTTTTCTAAGTTTCCTTATTTTGTAAATTTCGAGACTTTTGATATTTGGTAATAGATCAAATGGAGATCAGAAATGAAGGTTGGGTAAATAATGGTTACATATAATCGCAAGGGATTTGGTATTTTTAGTGTAAAATTTCTGTTTAGTAAGAGGTAAAGACGCATGCATTTTTTTTTTGAGTTTTTTTTTTTTCTTTTTCAATTTGGAATTTCTAAGTTAAAGAAGATCAAGAAACAAATCATAGTATTATTTTACAGGCCAAGTAAAAACAAAGGTACTTGACAGTTTGTGTACCAAAGAGCTAAGGAATGGGGTATTATTTAAGGTAATGGTGTTTGAAAGTTTTAGTCAATGAAGAGTAAAGTTCTGTTTTCTTTGCTTCAGCTCGTATGCTTTCAGGGGCAATTCCCCAGAATATTATTCCATATTTTAGGTGTGAGTGCACATTTGCAAAATACATTGTTTGAAGTGTCTCAATGTTGACTTGAGGGTGTATACGGCATATCAATATTTGGTAAGCTTCTTGTTAAGATTTGAGATGTAAAATTTCATTTTAGTTTTTCTTGAATTGTTGACCGAGGAAGGTATTTTCATAAGATATCGTTACAGGGTTATTATTTACGAGCAAATGCTGTGAGAGTTTTTCTTTAAACTGGGGGCTCATAAAATTTAGAGAGATTGTCTTGCTGGTGTTTATGATGAGTTTGTTATCTTGAAATCATTTTACCAGTGCATGCAAAGTTTTGTGAGTTTCTTTTTCTAGTGATTGCTTTGATAATTATGTTTGTGTCATCTGCAAACAAAATTATTTTGATATTCCTTAAAGCCAAAGGCAAATCATTTATGTATATAAGGAATAGTATTGGCCCAAGGATGGATCCTTGCGTGACTCCTCAATTTATCATCTAAGGGCAAGAGTAGTATGAGGAGATTTTATTTTCTTTAGTGTGCTGGTGGGCAACTATTTGGATATGATTTGATAAATAGAATACATTGGCCAGAAATGCCTTGAATCCCTAGCATTTCTAGTTTTGTTAGATGTATGTGATGGTCAATAATATCAAAGGCTTTTGTCAAATCTAAGAAAAGACCAATGGGAATTTCCTTCTGATTTAGTGAAACAAGTATGTCATTTAAAAAAGAGAAGAAAAGAGAAAAAGAGAAGATGGCTGTGTCTGTGGATATATTACTCCTGAAGCCATGTTGTGCATTTGTGAGGACATTATTTGCATTGTGAAACTGTTTGAGTCTACCATTCAAAAGCCTTTCCAGAATTTTTGAAACTCCTGATAACAGGGAGATAGGTCTGTAGTTCATTGGATCATAACTATTGCGCTATTTAAATATTGGTTTAATTTTTGACATTTTGAATATATCTGGGAATATGCCTGTTTTTAGAGAGATATGAGAGAGTGGTTGCACTATAAATGGAGCACTGTGTTTGATAAGAAAATCTGGAATGTTGTCCAGGCCTGCTGAGAATTTGTTCTCCATTTGTCCAATGATTTTAAAAATTTCAGAGGGTGGGGGGTTCATATAAAAATATGGAAATAATAGTTTGTGTAACATTACTGTTTGGTTGGTATGTTTTATTGTTTGGAGAGTTTTGAGAGATTAACTTTTTACTAATGTTCATTGAATATATCAGCTATTTCTTGTGGGTTTTGAAAAGTTTGGATTCTGTAGCGGAGCTCTATATTTTTTCTATTATTATTAGCTGGTGCTGTAGACTTTTCAGTAATGTCCTTCATAGCTTTTGTTATGTACATTTGCAATGCTCTTATCTTGTCATAATTTTTGCTTGTTAGATTACTTTTTTTATGTTCAAATTATGTTTTGTAGTATGAAATGAAGTTGGAGTTACATTTGTTATTTGTTAGTATTTTATACATGTTGCATTTTCTTTCACATGACACTTTGATGCCTTTGGTAATCTATGATTTGATTTTCTTATTTTGGATCTTTTTGAGTTTTTGAGGAAAAATGGCATTGAAATGTTTTAAATATATATTTATGAATGAATTAAACTTATCATTTGTATCAGTTACCTTTTATCCTTCATTTCAGTTTTCAAATCAGATTAAGTTTTGAAAGTTTATTATGTTTTCTTGGGAACAGTTATGGATTTCTTTGTAAGCTGTCTGTTCTGCGATGTTTGAAGTGTTAGAATCTGGGCAGTGTGGTCACTGAAACCTGTATTAAATGTAGCAATAGAAAAATAATGGTTATTTACATCTATTATTAATTAATCTATAGCAGTGCTACTATTTTTTGGATATTCGGGTTGGTGTATTTGTGGTTGTTTGTAGATTGCATGATTTTAGTAGGTCTTTAAATAGAGTTTCATTACTAAATTATGTGAGGCAATTTGTATTGAAGTTACTGCAAAGAATAATTTTATAGTAAAGAAGAAAGAGTGGAAGTTGGTGAAGGGGCTGGAGAGGATAAGAAAGGTGAGGAGGAGGTTGGAAGAAATGGAGGGGGCAGGAGAGTGGGGGGTGGGGGGTGGCAGAGACTGGGGTTCCCAGTTGGTGTGAGATGAGCATGGCTTCTAGTTTTTGTTTACCTATCTGGTTCATGTAGAGACCATGCCGAATAAGATGTTTTCTTGAAAGGTCAAGATCAACTAGTGTGATAGGTGTCTCTTTTAAGTGCTGTCTTATATGATGGTTTGCAATCTTAATCTCATTGTTTATAGGAATGTTGTTGAGCCAGGGGGCAGAGTGATCATGATTACAATTGTGTTTTTGGCAGTCTTATGGATTTTTGTGAAGTGTTTCTCTGCATCAAAATGACTGCCAGAGTTACTGTTGTTCTGCCCAACTATAATTACTACTGTGTCCTGTTGCGTAAAAGATCTAGTCTGAGTGTTTAAGTTCTCAATTACATGTGCCATCGTGGCACTACGCTTAAAAATACCTGTAATTGAGAGCTTTGACAGGGGTTTCTCTCTCACAATGGAGGAAAGGTCCCACCATGGCTGTCAGCTAGAATCAAAATTTTACATGAGTGAGAGAGAGTATCATTTGTTGTTTTAGTCTTGCCCTCTAAACTATGTTTCTGTTAAGATTTTGAGGGCAGACTTGTAGTATGGGTGCCTATCGTTTACTGGTTGTCATGGTAAGGTAGCTGTGGTGGGAAGAGGTGGAAAGGAGACAAGGTGAGAAATGATCGAGAAACTGTTGAATGTGGAGGTGCAGTGTGGTGCCTGTGAGTTTGGTGGGTGGCTAGGAATGTGTGGTTTTCTTCCTAGTTACACGAGTCCAGCCACCAGAGTTTTGAACGACCTGCTCCAGTCTACTGATTGCACTTTTAATGTAATTTATAGGTTCAAAGTCTCTCTTCAGGTTCGGCGTTGAGTTTAGCTAGTGCAAAGTGTGCCTGTTCCATGTTCATGTTGATGTTTTGTGTGTAATACAAGTTTTAAATTAGTTTCTTGATTTATGAGTTTTCTTTTTAAAATAAGTATTTCTAAGAATGCAGATTTAAGGTTTTAGGGAGGGTTGTTTATAAAGTTTTTATTGAAGGTTACATGTGTTTTTGGATACAGTACAATTTAATAAATAATGTTTCTAATAATGCATTTAATAAATCATGTTGCTAGCGTTTTTAAACCCTATTGCAATTTTTAAACTTGTTGTAAGTGAAAAGTTTGGTTTGTTGTAAAAGAAAATTTGAAAAATAGAGGTAGGGGTTTATTGGAGAAATATATAGAAACAAGGAACTCAGCATCTATCCCTGAGGAACTCCTGCTGAATATGAAGAACATTTGAAAGGTATTCTCTATTTGAACAGTGAATGTTTGATTTGGCAAACATGACTAAATTACTGTTTAGAATATATAATGAGGTACATACAGTTGGAATAATATGTAATAGAGTATAATAATCCTTTAAGCCATTTACGATCATAGGCTCAGCTGATATCCAGAAACTGCTCCTGAATGTTCTCTTTGATTAGGGTTAGATAAGGATAACAATGTAATTCAGGACATCCAGAGCAAATTGGTTATTTTTATACAATTAAATAGTGCATCAAGTAAATAATTTAATAGGAAATAGTATATCAAGTAAACAAATAAATAGAAGTTCAAGATAAATTTTCTTGCACACTTTCAAGACCAGCAGGGTGACATCTCTTTTGCTAAGGCGAATTTTCCAGGTTATTGTTTGTGACGTATTTAATGGAATCTAAATAAAATAATAAAAAGTATTACTTAGTTCAATATTAAAACACTTATTGACTGAGCTCTTTTCCCCTTTGCATTCCAGATTTTCTTACACTACCACATTGTGAGAGAGACAAATGCATGACAATTCGTAATACAGAACTTTTCTTTATCTATATTTCAGGTCTCACATTGCACCATAAAAAGACAATAACAACATTGCTAAACAAAGAAATTAGCCTCTTGTATTCTTGTATGTAGCACATAGTTCTGCAAGAGGTCCCGAAGTGGTTCTGTTTACAAGTGGTCCCAAAACGCAGTTTTTTGTAGGATTGTCTGGAATTGCCCTGAAAAGAAACTGGTACAGCAGGCGTGGATCTGGGGGATAAGGGAAACCCCCCTCCAAAAAAATTCAGTAACCATTAATTTTAACTTCTCACGAAACTTTGAAATAACTAATGGTGCCAAATAGGAGCACGTACTTTGTCGCCCATATTTTCTCGTATTCGTACGTGAAAAGGTGTGACAATTTTCAAAAAAATTGTAAATGGTCTTATTTCAAAATCCATCTTTAAGGAAAAGATTTTATTAAGGGAAAAATCTCGTATTTTTAATATTTTAGTTGCAGAAATATTCCGAAAAAAATTGAACTTTGCAAATTTTCGAAATTCAACAAACTTGAGACCTGCACCATTCTCTTAAGCGTCCTTCACACTAAAAAAACACACACACACACAACAACAACAACAACAACAACAACAACAACAACAACAACAGTTTTTTGGAGTTGGAGTTTTTAAATTTGGAAAATGTCTCAAGAGATTCACGTAAAGTATCCGAAATTAAAATATCTATTTCAAATTCCAGGGGCTGTGACCTCACCCAGATCGATTGGGGATTATCAATTTTGGAGAAAATCAACTGAACGGTTTTCCATTTGACATACAATGTAGGCTTTCACGGCCGGTTTCCGTATCAAAATCAGTTGTTTCCGA